AGTGGTTACCACTGACTAAGGAAAAGGGGCTCTAAAGGTCCAGTGTGTAACATTAAGAGGATCCATTGGCAGAAATGGAATAATAATATTCACAGGGTATGTTTTCATTTAGTGGTATAATCACCTGAAAATAAGAATCATTGTTGAAGTTTTCGTTACCTTAGAATGAGCCGTTTTTTATGTACAGCGGGAGCAGGTCCTCTTCTACAAAGTCTGCCCTGTTGAACCACCATGTATCTACAGTAGCCCAGAACGGACAAACCAAAAACTAACTCTGGGTAGGCCCTTTTGCATTTATCGCAAATTTCATGGCCACCATAGTTTCTCCTACATGTTCAGAAGTCTGAGCTGTATTAAAATGGTTACAGTCTCCAGTTTCATTGCTAGATGCCACTAAATCCTACACACTGGTCCTTTAAAACTGCATGAAGCTGGCGGTCATGTTACCAACCTCAAGATTATTCCCATTTTTTCTAAAAAAGTCTAAATTTGTTGTAGCCAAGTCGGTTTCTTTTTCTTTTTTTTTTTTTACTTATGTGTTATAAGAAACTAATTTGAGAGCGTATTGTGACGGGACCTGCTGCTGCAGCTTTGTGTGCCGAAGCAGGTGCTGTGTAGCAAACCCTGAGCTCATCAGTCTCCTCCTGCCCGGCTGTATTTGTTGTTCCTCAATTCGCAGTGGCGGGACTAGCAGACTGTGTAATGTGTGGGTGAGAAAGAGAGAGGGATATGGGAGGTGTGAGTGGGGGATTTGAGAATAAGCATGGCACAGATTCCCATTTCGCCACCCTGGTCTTCCTCTATTCCCCATGAATAATGTGGCACAGCCCCTACCCAGTGGTAGGCCAGGCATGCCGCCATATCAAGCTGTGGTTGAGAGTGATGCGTCCAGCTTGGCGAGTCTGGGCTCAGCCACATTCTAGCCCCACAAACCCCCCACACTCTCCCACCCCCATCCCCAACCTGCAGAGAGGAGCACTGGGCTCCAAGATGGCAATCAAGGCTTGATTTGCCAACACATTTCCAATGATTAAAATGTAATTAGCACAAGCGAGCACCTCCTCCCCAGCTAATTTCCACGCACGCTGTGACAGGCAGGCGGTCGGCGGCACCCAGGCCCCAGCAGCAGATGGAGGAGGATGCAGCGGAAGGCGAGAAAACCATTTTGCCATGTGACTGTTTGCATCAGAAAACCATCAGGATGCGCAGCTATATCAGGAAGGAGCTGTTAGGAGGAGGGAATGAGGAGCCCTTGACGACAGCACATCAAATTGGCACTGTCAGAGCTGACCCTGGCAATGGCTGCCATCCTTCATGCTGTCTTTCCAGCTCCCAGGCATGCAGACAGGTTGGCTTCTTCCCTGGGCTTTAACCCCTTCAGCCATCCTGCAGGACAACCTGGCTCAGGCTGATAAACAGGCACAATCCTTTGTGCAGCGTGGTGCTTTAATGAACCCCATATCAACTATAATTAATTCTAAGGTCGTGGATAGGAACCAGCATAACCTGAGGCTAATGTCACTCAAGGGGGCGACAATGCGTATCAGTCACAGATCCAGACTTAAGAAGATGCCATTTAAGAAAATATTTGAATAGACAACTTACACTGGCGGATGAATTATAATAAGCCTGTTAAACACACTCTGTTTGCCTTTAGAAATATCATTTACGCATGTCATTTTTTTCTTGATTGACTTAACATCTGTTAGTATTTGTGGACCAGTAGATTTCCAGAAGGTTATGTTGGAAAAGGGAACATGGCATACTTGCTTTGCACGCATGCTCGTGTGATGTGGTTACCTCTTTAGTACAGACATTTTTCTGCGGGTAGCTCTGGCAGGAGACTTTGATGAGGCCTGCTGCTACGGACGCTAGCATAGCAGCATCATTTAGCATTCAGCCCGTGGCTCCTTATGTTCCCCTTGTATTGGGCCAGTATTACTCTCAGCTGGAGAGGATTTAGAACAAGAATAATTTACTCCTTATTTCAGACCAATATAAACAAAAGGCTTGATGCTTGGACAGAGCGTAGGGAAATTTGTAAGAGCACTCAGCCAAAAGAGAGGCCCGGGTGAGAGCAGAGGGGCAATCAGAAGTGCTCCGGATACAGGCCAACATCAACAGCTCTTAGAGCTGAAGCTAATGTTTGACATTCCTGTGTTACTTAAATTTAACACTAGGGTCTTGCTGTACAGTGTAATGCTGGTCCTGTGTAAATAGCAGTGGGCCTTGGTAGGGTATCACTTTTCTTTGTCAGCCCCCTCCCAGGACTAATGGTTTCCTTATTGTACATGGCTGTTGCTTTAAATAAGACCCATTTCCTACCCAGCCTGTCAGAGAGCTAACTCCACTGATCTCAATAGCCCCATTGTTGTGTTTTTTTCATTCTTTGGTATAATGTATTCATTTTTCATTCTAAACTTCTGACACATGTCTTTTCATTAGACATGGCCTCTCAAGATTGGTATAAAGTGTTTTTGACATTACAGTTAACCATAGCTTTGCAGATTTATTCATACTCACCCGTCAGTAGCAATAACTGAATTTTTGAGCTCATGCTTACCTCCTAAAACAATGCCATACCTCAGTTATCATTCATGATGTTTCTAACTGCCAAGTGCAAAGCCAAGACTTTCTAGCTTTCCGTCTCTGTTTCTAATGTAAGAATCAGTAAGTAGAAATACAAGGAATGAAAATATTCCAGATATGCAGGGATTCCTCTCTCCTGTCTCAGGTTGCTTTATGCATGAGGCAACGCATTAGTTCACTATGATCACTTATCAGTGAGTGACAGCTCTGACTTGTTTGTATGCCTGAGATGTGTTTTTATCTTTTAGAGATATTATTATTTGTTACTTTTTGCTCTATACTTAAGCAGCAAGTTCGAGGGAGCTTTGGCGTCTGCTCTGTAAGGACAATCAAAATTGCCTGCCCTCGCCTGTCAGGCCTGATCTCAGGATTTTTTACTTTGCTCATTATAAAGGTATTTCCATTTTATTAAGTTTTCCCTTTTTTCCACCCTTTGTCGCTCTGGGAAATTTGCATACCTCTATTCCTAGGGAAAAAAATAATGACAGCAATTTCTTTTCTTTTCTCTCCCCCACTAGCCGTGTGAGTGCTTCGTTTAGTGGCACCTGCGAAAGCGACAGGCGCGGGGATGAGAAGTGAAAGAGAGCAGTTGATTAAATCATCATCAAGTCGCAGCACAGAAAGTCAATTCTGCTTGCCGTCTACAATGATATCCTTTTATCTTAAAGTAATGAGCTATGGCACTTTTGCATCGGGTAATACGATGAGTTCCATTAGCATGTTCCATTTGCTTCACAAGCAAGGGCAAGTCATTCCAGCCGGCTTCTATCTTGGCAATCAAAGCAATTGGCTGCACAGCCAGGGAACAGGGGAAAGGAGGGAGAGCAAAAAAAAAAAAGGAACATGAGAAAGAAAGGCTAGCAGTGTTTTTTATGGATCACAACACAGTGGAAAAACTAAAATGATGTCCATTATTTGAACCCCTTGCATGCCTGTGTTCCCGGGTGTGTAGTGTGCACAGGCAGAGAAGCAGCTAATGAGTGCTCGGTTGCATTACTGTTGTCACATTCTGAGAGGCCTGAATACATGGAAGCAGTTGAGATGGCTAATACTGCTCAACAGATTTTGTCTGCCGCTGCATTAGTCAGTCCTGTGTGGGAGGCGGCACGAGAGAGCGATACATGGCCAACATGCCTATTTATTCACAAGCTTGAATAGACGTGCATAAATGCACACAGTGTGCAGCTTTTTGTATTACACAGACATTCAAGTGTAATCAGAATCTACACTCGTCTTTCATTACCCTTATTTATTCTTCCAGCTGACAGTCTATAGGGCTGCTGGCTCTCTGCACACTGTATTAAATGGGGGATGGAATGTTGTGGGTGGTGGAGAAAGAGAGTGAGAGAGAGATGGAGAGCAGGGAAACGTCTGAGGAGTGTTTGCCCAGTGCGTTTATTGCCTCTGCATAATTTATGAGCTGCTGGAGCTGACCATCATGGCAGTGTGCCGCGGGCGGCCCCTGGGGCCGTGTGGGACAGGCCTGTAAATTGGATGCTATGCTCCTGCTGAGCTCGCAAGGCCCCTTTTTACCGTCCAGCCTCAGAAACAGACCAGCTACGAGCCCAGCCAGCTACCTTTGAGCTCTGCAGGGCCCCAGATCAGCAAAAAACAAGAGATGGAAGCAAAAAAAAGAGGGAGAGAGAGAAAAAAACGGCAGGGTTTTCTGTCGCTCACTCCCTGGGCTGTCAATCATTTCACCCCCTTCCTTCACTCCCTCCCTACTTTAATCGACACCCACCAACCCCTCCCTGCACTCCCGGTCCCCCCGCCTACACACACACTCACTGTGCCAACCCCTGCCCATATTCCCCCCCAGTGCCTTCTTCATTACCGACTCCAGTGCTTCTCTGCACCTCAGCCATATGCACAACGTTGAGGGCCGCCAGTCACCCAGCATCACACTAATTAGTTGATAAAGAATTAAGTGGACCTTGAAATTGAAATTGGAAAGAAAAAATGAAATCTAACCACTTTTTCCTCCCTCCATTACAAAGTTCCCTTCCTCTTCTTGTCATTTCTCCCTTCCCAGCCTCAAGCAGGAACAGACATCATGGAATTATAATTCTAGTGGCGGTTAGTGTTTTGAGATTCCAGCTTCGTCTGAATTTCACATAGGTTTCATTGTTAACAAGGACACAGCTGCTCATGAGAAATTTGCTTTGTTTCACATTCCAGTGCTTGTGTCAGTTAATGAAGTGATCTGATGATATTCAGACACTGAATATGAGTATGTGATAAGTTCAGCATTAAAAAGCTGATAAGATATGCCATTTACAAAGGTAAATTAGATTATCGCACTGACAAATGTGTTGAAACTGAATACAACCCTAGCAGGGATGGTTATAAAACAGGTATAGACATATTATTCCTCATTTTCAGCTTTGTCTTTTTTTCCTGTTTTTTTGCAGTGTGACAGCGAGAGTGACCAAGATGACAAGGTAAGCCAGCCATTCACTGTGATTTTTCATATACCATTAAATGTGCTTGGATCATTTCTTTATCGGGTTTCGATAAGATTCAAATATTAGACTTTCTTAAAGCCTGAGAATTTAATGTAATTAGAATTAAACATCCTGTTAATAACTTGCTGAGAAAGCCTTAATTAGCTGTGCATTAATTATAAATGACTTAATGATGTGCAAAATCTAAATCGAACTGTTCTGGGTTTTTAGGATTTAGATGACATTTAAATGAGACTGCTGTGACAGCCAGGGTTGAGGTTGCAGACTTTCTTTTGCCTAAAGCCTAGCACTCACTATCCTATCTACCGTATGAAGTACTGCGTCTGTATATTTATCTATCTACCTTTCTTCATATCTGTATATCTGTCTGTCTGTTTTTAAGACATTCTTTTGCTAATATAAAATAAAGCAATAAGAGTAATTGCTTATTTCTGTTCCTATAATCTCAATCGATTATAGCTACATTGTTTGTTGGTCTTAAAAGTATAGTTGTACTTTTTTAATAATGGCTGCCACATTTTTAATCAATTACAATATCTAAGTGTATCTACAAGTTTGTTTTTAGCCATGTTTATAGTATTTAGTGCAGCTCCATTTATAATATCCAGTTTGAGTGCACCTCATAGATTCTAAGAGCAGCCATATTATCCAACGACTTCTAAGTAGAGATCTAGATCCACTCTAATGATTTAGTAATACCATTTGCTTGTGGTGTTTAGACTGTGCAGCAAATTGAGTCATTACTCAGTGTTGTCGATTTAAATTGCTCCTGTCTCTGTGGCAATTCCTTTTTGTTTCAGGAAGAGAGAGAGAGCATGGTAAGCTGTAATCCCCCCAGTGACTGTATTAATTCACCCTGGCTCACGTTACGCTCCTGATGAACAGCGCCAACTACACCTTCCTGTCATTGATTAATTGTGTGTTAAAGTAACAGAGGAGTGAATTAGTAAATAGCGGACCCCTATGACAGGGGTTGACTCATGTGTTCTTCCTCAGTGCGAGGGAGTAATTGGAGCTACCACTCAACATTTTTACCCCCTCCTCAGTCCACATCACCTCTGCCACTATCTGCTCCTGCCAGGCGCCGGGCACACGACGCCCACTGCCACTGTTGTCATTTGCATTCTGTGGGCGACGTCTACTTTACAACACCGCAGCAGAGAAGAACACGGGAGAGCAGAGTCGTTTTAATGGGTCAAATGTATTCAGATGAGGACAAACGTGGCTTATTTAGTTTCCCTTCAAAAGCAGGAAATGGAAAAAGTGTTCCCAGGAGAAATCATGTTCTGCCTGGTGTAGAAGGCCTCTGCCGTGTCGGCGGGAGCTGCCAGGCTCTGATAAGAGACAGCTATTCGTATCTCAGAGGCTATGTGCGCACAGTCCAGCGAGTGTGTTTGTGTGCGAGTGTGTGTCTGCATGTGTTGGAAACTGTCAGAGCATTTGCTCATTATAAAGTGACCTGTAGGATGGGCCCTATCCAACATGACATGTTAATGGCATAGTGTGAGACAGGTAGGAGGCAGGCTTACTGTAGTCACTCATCACACAACGCTGGTGTTATTAGCTCTATATGTGTTATCATTAGCTTCTCTGCTAAAGCCCCCATTACTGCCGGTCTTCCTTTCTCTCTGCCAGTACAAAGCAGTCCCGCCAGACCTCAGACAATGAGAAAGAAAAGGTGAATTCTTCTGCCTTAAAGGTCTACGGCATGTGTGAAAAATGTGACATACTTCTGTGTGCATGTTGAATATTTAATAATAAATGTTGTTGATTGTGTCTTCGTGTATATCTCCACATGACTGGTTCCTTATCTACACAAACAGCCACAAAAACTGAGGTGCCCCAGTAGTACACCGGATAGTGTCACCCCATGTACTAAGCCTTACCACAGTGGCCGAGTTCGATTCTAGCCTGCGACCCTTTGCTCCATTTCATCTCCCTCTTTCTCCTTTCTTCCATTTCCTGTCTTCAGCTATTCCTATCAAATAGAGGTGTAAAAGACCTAAAACACACACGCATAGAAACTGAGGTAGTGCATTTCTGCCTCACCATTTACAGCTAATTTCATTCTTATTGTGTTGCAAGTGTAAAACAAGATTATTTGCCTTCTTTTCATCCTATACTGTACAGTGGACCATTTAGGAATAATGGTATTTAAGTCCGCAATGGGATGCAAGCACAAATGAATGCCGAAGAGCCAAAAACCTCCTCTCAAAGCTTTTGCTATCAAGGATGTCCACGTTTGTCTGTTGCTATCCTGTGGCTTGACCTATCTTCCACTCATCTTACATGCATCCTGTCCACTCTCTAACCTTTTGGTGGGTCTAGGCAGGATCAGGTGGTCATTTTTATTAGGGCTAGGGAGAACTGGCATATTCATTTGGTGCGCCTTGTTCCCAGTTACGATGTTCCGCTTTACTGGCAGGAAAGCACACTGAAAAGAGCTCCATGGCCTCAGGTGTCTTTCATGTGCATCCGCCAAAGCACCAATAACATTGCCTTGTTTCATGGTGTAGTTAACGCCAACAGATTTTCCACCATCTGAGACCTTTTAGGGGGGCTGTCAAACATCCCCTTAGCCTCAACCTGTGTTTGATCCACAGCTCTGAAAAACCTCTTTAAATCCTTTGGGGATACGTTTTTTTATGAATGTAACGCACCTTGCCTTTTTAATTCTACTTTTCCTTTTAAAAAATGTATGCGCCGAAACATTCGCTCAACATAATCTTTTTTGATTAGACTGTAACAGTGGCAAATGTCTGCACCTTGTCTTAGCAGTTTTTGTAATATTGTCAAGAGCGCTCAGGCACTCACTCTGTCTGGACTTGCTAATGCTTAAGTGATTTTTGCTAGTAAGTGGCACCTTGAAACTGCCAGTCAAACATTTTAGTATGAGTATCTGCTGGTGCTCAAGTGCTTTTTCCAGCTTAACTGTTCATCAGTCGTGTTACTTAGGCCTTTTGTGAAGACAATGACTTTGTGCTGTAATCTGTGGGACTTTATCACACTGTAGCCTTTTTATTTCTCTTTCCCTTGCCTTTGGGCTTTTTTTTTTATAGAGGCCACACCTTTCCTAAGTGTTATTTACTCGCTCTATCAGCAGCCACAAGCTGTAAATGCCATTTTGAAAATGCTTTGCGTCTTATTAATGGCAATGCAACGGAGTGCTGTAATTTGCTGTGCTTTGCTCTTATTGGAGGCGAGGGATCTAAGTGGGTGCTTTAGAGCAGCCGAGAGAACCTGTTTGTCCTTGACATAAAATAAAGATCTGAACTGGTAATATATTTGCTGTTTCTCTTCCTTTATTGTTTTGCTGTGTTTGCCCTCAGGCAATTACAGCAAAAGAGTCGAGTTTCTCAATCACTCGGCAGCACTGTACATAAAACCATTTTATATCCTCCTCCTCCCCCCCAAACCCTCCCTCTTTCCACCGCAGTGGGAAGGATGAGTAATAAAAAGGAGAGAGCAACTTGTCAGCGTTAAAAGATTATGTGTTTTGCCCCCTCCAAAGGAAAAGAGTAGTGTTTACAGGCTTGAGTGGGTGCTCGCTAGGCCGAGGCTGAGGCTGATTGCACTAGAGTACCCTGTCAGCCAGTGATTTGTCATGTACTTTATCATCCTTGTCACTCTGCAGAGCGTTGTCATAGGTAACGTTCCCGCCTGCCTCCTCCCCCCTACGTGCTTTGTACCCAGTCGGTGTAGGAAATTTGTATTTACTTTGGGGGAGTGTAATTTGTTCCTCATGGATAATATGACCCTTAGCGGAGCCGGATCACGGGTTAGTTGAAGTGATATTTTCCGGTAATGGTAGTCGTACATCATGGCTGTCAGGCCGGGTTAGGAGGCGAGCACATTACAGCTCCATTTTAGCACTGCAGGCATCTGGGATTATTTTCCATAACCAAGTATGACATGACCGCTCTGCGGAGTGCATTAAATTTTTACTAGCTTTTTTCCCTCCCCCGGCAACTTCTGTGGCTTTTCCCCCGGTCTGGGTCTCGAGGCTGCCACAGTGATGGATACCCCCAGAGTCCCAGTAGCCCTGGCCAAGGTTAGCGGGTGTCACAGACCTACACCGCTCCCCTCCATCCAATAACCGGCAAATCCCTGCTCCCTCTGAGGTGCGTGCACACAGGCTCACCACCGCAGCAAACCCAGAGCCTCCACACACACGCACACACACACATACAGAGATACAAAGAAAAAGAACTAGCAATCCCCTCAAGTAGTTTTCACCAAAGAAGGATGGACAGAGAGAGATGGAGATTTGGACATTTGTGTAATACCACCTCTCACCTTCACTTCCATGAGTAGAGATCATCTTTATACATGGCAGTGCTTGTGATGGCAAACAGTGTGGCGCTCCAGAGCTGTTGATTGCTTTCCTTTTCTTTTCTATTCTTTCCTACTCTTCTCTTTTCTCCCGCATTTTGATTCCTCTCTCCTTGGCAGCAAGGTCAGCAGTGTAAATGCCACCTCTTGCCATTGACAAATGGTGGCCCCCCTATCTGATAATCAGTAGGGTCTCAGAGGTGGACGAGCAGGCGGAGCTCATTAGGGCGCCACAGATGAGAAATTAATGTGGAGATTCCAGACCTGGCAAAGAGTTACGCTGATGGGCCCTGGGTGGGGGAGGAGGGGCGGGATGGATGGACCCTGTCTGATGGATGACCAGGTCAGCAGGCAGCAAGACTCCCCAGACAGTCCCACACATACACAAACATACACACACCCACACGCCTGTCCTCCCCCTGTTACCTCCCTCTTTTCCTTCCCCCCTCCAAACCTTCCTTGTAGTGCAGCTCATCCTGCCCCATCCACAGGAGAGTCAGAGGAGAAACATTTCACCCCTCCTCTGACACACTGGTAATTGAATGGAAGCGGACTAATTGACTCAAATTTCCACATACCTTTTTCCTTTTGAAATAAGATGGTGACAAAAGGTGAAAATGTCAGCCTGCCAGTTTGCTTCTCAG